TCTACTGCTCCTACCTCGAGGAGCCTCTGCACCTCCTGATGCAGGAGCTGCCTGTGAGAGGGGTCCCTGAAAAGGTATGGTGCAGGGAAATGGGAAGGTGGGGTGGATAGAAAATGAATGGAATATCCCATTTTTACCATGCATAGAAACCACCTGTTGGACATGACTCGGGTCCAGGTATGGTAAAAATAGGACAAGAGGTCCCCAAACACAAGGGTAGGATCTGAGGAGGAGACAGGTTCCTTGCCCTTGGGTGCATCTTCAAAAATTCTTGTTAGGACCTGGTAACCACCTGGAAGACTAGGCCTGGTTATTAATGATGCCACTCCCACTACTATTTTCTTATGCCTGTATATTTATACCTGCCCCATGAATTTCCATTACGTGCATCTGACGAAATGGGTCTTTGCCCATGAAAGCTTATGCTCCAATAAATCTGTTAGGGTACGTCTAGACTACAGGCTTTTGTCGACAGAAGTTTTGTCGACAGATACTGTCGACAAAGCTTTTATCAACAAAGAGCGTCTAGACTACATCCAGTTCTGTCGACAAAGCAAGCTGCTTTGTCGACATGACAGTGTAGACGCAAAGTAGGGTGTAGATGTAATAACGCCTTCTGTTGACAGAACTCTGTCGACAAAAGGCGTTATTCCTCATAGAATGAGGCTTACAGTCATCGACAAAACTGCTGAGTTCTGTCAACGTTATGTCAACAGAACTCAGCAGCAGTGTAGACGCAGGTATAGTTTTGTCGACAAAAGTCCACTTTTGTCGACAAAACCCCGTAGTCTAGACACACCCTTAGTCTATAAGGTGCCACAGGACTTCTCATTGCTCTCACTACTATTGACACTTGGGGGGGGGGTGACAGCAGCTTCGCCTACTACTCCTTCTATTCTGTTTCTGCCTCTGAGGTGGAGGACAGAAACTAGGGAGCGGAGTTGGTTTGAAATACCTCTGCTGTGTTCAAGACGTGTGAAGGCCCAAGGACTTTAATGTTGCCCTTGTGTCCTTCAAACTATGGAGCCTAGAATATGTTTGCTCTGCAAACAAGCTGGTGCCATCAAAAGGAAGGTCCTGTACTGTATTCTGGACATCAGGAAGGATCCCAGACACCTGAAGCCAAGAGTTCCGCCTCATAACTATGTCTGTTGACATAGACCTGACTGCAGAGTCTGTGGCATCCAGAGCTGCCTGAAGGGAGGTTTGGGAAATTACCCTCTCTTCCTCTTAGGGCCATGAGCTCAGACCTAGAGTCGGATAGGAAGAGCTCTTTAATTTGTCCATGAACATGCATGTATTAAAATTGTAGCAGTCCAACACCACCTGTTGATTAGCTATCCTCAGCTGGAGGCAACACGTTGAGTATACTTTCCTCCCCAACAAGCCCAACCTCTTAGAGTCCTTGGACTTAGGAGTGAGGCCCTAGTGACTCTGGCATTCCTTAGCAAGGTGAGAGGTCGCGGGTGCATATACAAGTACTCAAACCCCTTCCAAGGGGCAAAGTACCACTGCTCCACCCCTTTAGCAGTCAGGGGAATGGAAGCAGGGGCCTGCCAAAGGGTTTTCATGGTGGAGGAGATAGTCTTCATAAAGGGGAGAACAACTCTGGATCCAGGCCCCTGGAGACAGAATGTCCACCATAAGTTCTGTATCCTCCACCACCTCCCCTATTTGCAGACCCATACTCTGGACCATACCACCTCAATAGATCCTGATGCACCCAACTGTCCACAGCGGGTAGTGAAGTTGCCACTCCAGCTATCACTTCACCAGGTGACTATAAGGACGAGGGGTCCTGCAGCACATGCCCTTGATCACTGGCACCAGTGTGCTGCAAAACAGGTGGCACTGGGTACAGAGACATCCCTGGAAGCCAGTGCTGTTTGTCCTCCCCAGACTGGCGTGTGTGCTGACTGGGAGCTTGGTGCTGAACAGGACTCCACTGGTCCCTGATCGGCTGTGTAGCAGGTATCTGTGACCCCATCGTAGTCACATAACTGTACCCCTATGGCGGGGACTTGACCTAGGGACTCTGAAGGAGTGGTCCTGTTGACCAAAGTGACAGAGACTGACCTGGAAACCCCACCTTGCATCTGGTGGCAAGCCTAAGGAGTCCAGAACAGCCACTGAGGTGGGGCCTGCCATTGAGGAGGCCTTGGCAGGGTTAAACTCCTGTCTCCTCTCCAGAGGGACCTGTGCCAAGCAGCACCTCCGGTTGGACTGCTGGCCCAATTCAGACTCTGACATGGACGTAGAACATGGGAACCATAAGGGAGTGGTACCGCGCTGCACTGGAGCCTCCGCTTGTACAGGATCCCTCCCAGGACCAATGCTGAAGGGAACCATCCCCGCTGATTGGCTGGTGTCAAATGGGAGGGCTCCGCCTGCTACAGGGGTCCTCACCAGATCGCTGCTGAGGTGAACAGTCCCAGCTCCATGAATGTGCCGGGCGAAAGGGACCTTCTTAACTTTGGAGGCTTGTTCCTCAACTGCACCAGCCCTGGTACCAGCAATGGTGTCGATGGAGCCACTGGGGACACTAATCGGCCACACATTCGCTTAATCAGGTTGCAGGCAGCCTCATATGTCTCAGGAGTGGATGGCATGTCCACATATCCCATATGGCTCTCCCGGGACAGGAAGTCCACTTACACCAGACTCGACGTGACCGGAAGAGGTGCCAGAGTCAACAGCGCCATACAAGCAGATTGTTTTGAAGGATGCTCAAACTCAGGATGTGACTCTTTAAGCCTCTTAGCTCTGGAAACAGGTAACTGTCCCCTTTCCCACCTCTGCTGCTTCTTCTAGATCAGAGAATGGGATCAGTGACATCGGTGCCAGGCTTCAGAGACCCACAGTGCCAGGCTGTCTTACCCGACTTCTTCTGCAGAGCCGGTGCACTGCACACTAAGGCCACAGATTCCAGTCCCGTGGCCTGCAGTAGCAGATGGTGATCCAAAGATGCCTCCATTAACAGATTTTTGGAGGCGGAACGCTGTCTCTTCTAGTTCTTGGCATAAAGGCCCTACAGGTCTTACACTTGTTTGCTACGAGGAGTAACGCCAAATTTGAAATAGCTATTTCGAATTAAGTGCTGTGTAGACACTTATTTCGAAATAAGGGGTCTCCAGCCCTTCCCAGGGAGCCCTGGTGGCCACTCTGGGCACAACCAGAAAAACTTACTCTCCTCTCCCCCATCCCCAGAGTCATTAAAGGGGTAGACCCTGGCCACAGTGCCTGTGCCAGCTCCAAGACTGCCAGCCCAGAGCCAGCAGTGGCCACCGGAGCCCCTGAGCCAATGGCCCCAAAACATGAGCCAGCAAACAACTGGGAGCCAGCCCTCCACCGCTCCCCAGGAGCAGTCTGCCAGCTCCAAGCAGGCTGATGGGGCTGGAGAAGGGGGGGGGCC